GAAGGTCCTTTTCAACCTTAATGATTCTGTGTTTCTGTGAAATACTGTTGGACATGGAAGGAGGCCATCTAGTGTGGAAGTCTTGGTCTCGTATCCTTCCCAGTGACTAGTGCAGACAATTTTAAGTACTCCACAGACCTTATTTTCTGAGTCAGTCTATTTATCTCTGCAGTAGGAGACAGACAGTTACAAGTCAAATCAAGCACATGCTGTTACAGATGTGTGGTTACTTCAGGGCCACTTCTGGTGGGGCCAGAAGTCAGATATCATTCTTTAAACCCAACAGATACAGTGTGCTGTTTTGCCACATACAATGGAGAAAAATGTATGTTTTCAATATTACTCATTAGTCGATAGGCAATCATTATGCTTTTTTGAAGTTGTCCTATCCCCTTGACTCTACCTTGTTTATACTGCAAGGAGGGCTGAAAGGCGCGAGACTCTGGCTTTTGAAACCTACTGAGTGAAATGCCCTTTTAGGAATCTCTTCCAAGAAATGCACCAGAAATTTCAGGGAACACGGCATCAGATAGCCTGTGCAGCCAACTGATCTATGTGTTAAGCTGAGGTGTCTTTTTTTAATTTATAATCTTTATAGAAGACACTTTATTGCACTCTGTACAGTCATCTATATTCACCCTGTACAGTCATCAAGAACAGTTGAGAGTTAAAATAAAAATAACTCAACTTACAGAGTTTGTTGCGCTGTTGTTTGTAGAGCTGTATTTGGAAGAGCTTAGTGACCGGATAATAGAGGTTGATACAGAGTGTCAAACAGATGCATTTTTGGACAGACCACCTACTCCACTCTTCATACCAGCCAAAACAGGAAGAGATGTGGCCACGCAAATAGAAGAAGGAGAGGTATGAAAGCAAAGTGAGGTCCACAAGTGCTGTCAAAAGATCTGCCATACAAAACACACTTCTGATGCAAAATTGAGGCAGAAACAGAAAGGAACTTATCCTCACAGGACATGCAAAAAAAAAAAAAAAAGTCCCCAATGTTTGCTTTGAAGTTAAGTGCAAAATTACAAGAAGGTGCTTCTCCATGTGCACTGGTTCTGCTGCTTTCAGCTAAGAACCGAGAAATGCTACTACAATGCTGAGAAAAGCTCTGCCCTGTGGAAATAGTGTCCAGCCAGAGAAGGGGTTGGGAACCCAGAGGTGAGCAAAAATAGGGTCCAGGTGAGTGCTCTGCTTCTCCTTGGCAGTGCCCCCACTGCGGCTGTGGTCAGGTGTGTGGTGTCTCACTCCAGCCTGCCCCTCTTAGCCCCAGCTGCATTCATGCTTCTGCCTTAGCTGACACTGGCCCCCCACCTGCACTTCTCAGCCCTGCCTTCAGCATAAGGGCTTTGTTCATCCTCCTTTCTCCTTGCCAAGGTGTTGAGAATGACTGTGAACAAGGGTCATTTATCTCTGTTTCCCTTGCTCCCATCCTCAGTTGTTTGACTTTGACGTTGAAGTCAAGCCAATCCTGGAGGTGTTGATTGGGAAGACGGTTGAGCAAGCTTTGCTGGAAGTCATGGAGGAAGAAGAGCTGGCCCAGCTGTGGGCACGTCAGCGTGCCTATGCAGAGCTGCGTAATGCAGAGCTTGCTGAAGTACAGCGCCTGGAAGAGCAGGACAGGCGATACAGAGAGGAGAAGGTAGGACTTCCTAAAAGCAAAACAGGCCTGCCTGACTGCTCGTCAGAAGAGAGAAAACCATTGCCAGTACTGAAAGACAAGCTGTGAAATAAGCTGGATGTGCTCAAAAGCATACTGTCAAGTTTGATATTCCTCAAAGTATTTTGGTGCCATACAGCTGCAGTCTGCCATTTGCTCTCATGCACCAGCACCATGCTGTTGTGTTTATTGGAAGCAGTCATGCTCCAGTGACCTGGTGTACTCGAACACCTGATCAAGAGGCCAAACTCAACAGCATTTTCCTCTTGTACCCTGTGCAGCTGTTACACAAGCCTCTTCATTAGAATTACTGCTAAATGAATAGTCCCAGTGCTTGAAAGTAACTACTGCATGTGCACACATACGTCTGAAGATCTCCAAGTATTAAGATATATTCATACTATGTAGTAAATAGGAATAAACAGAAAGGGCAAGTCTTAATTACTCACTATTCATAAGTCTTATATATTTGGGTTTTTTAATGTTTTGCTGGATGCATTTGAGTTTTAATCTTTTCTTCTACCAATTAGCGTATAAAATTGCAAAAACGAAAAGTTCATGAAATCCTGACCCAACTTCATCTCTTTCCAAGTCCAACAGTCAGATTCATCTGCAAAAATAAAGCAGAGAGTCATGAGATAAAGGCATACTAAGGTAACAGGGGAGGGTTTCATTTGGCCAGCTACAAGGCCTTTATCTTACAGATTTGCCAAAATCAGAAAAGATATACCAAAGGAACACATTTCTCTCTAGTCCTTGTGGATTTTAGTACTCTATAGATTGAATACAAGGTTGTTTTCAGTCTTTCATGTGAGGAGTTTTTTTGAAAGTTAGAGGCTGCAAATACCAAGTAGAGACCGTAAGTATCAGTACTCTTGATTATCTTTGCTATTTATAACTCTCACACTGTGATCGTTCTTCACAGTCTAGATCAAAGAAGTAACAGCTAAAGGCCTGAAGGTTTTACATGCAATATTGCCTTGACAGGAACGTCGCAAACTCCAGCACATGCAAATGCTGCAGAAACAGAAAGAGACCACAGAGAAAATTGCAGCTCGGGCATTTGCTCAGCATTACTTGGCTGATCTCATTCCCTCAGTCTTCAACAATCTTCGTGAGAGTGGGTTTTTTTATGACCCTATAGAAAGAGGTTTGTATTTTATTTTATTAACATGTGAACTGAGTAACATAAAGGTCAAACCAACCATAAAACATACCTTATTTTCCTATTATTTAGAATAATGTGATAAGACTTTATTAATTTACATTTGAGGCTGAACAGATCATGTTCAAACTCAAATTTTTAAAACAAACATTATCAGTCATCTGTAGTTAAGAACACGCAAGAGCTGACTGTTACAATGAGAAGAGCTGCTTTTGAAATGGAGAGAAAGGAATGGGTGGTTAGGATTGGTAGAGCACAGAGAGAGATCCAAATTGAAGTAAATGTATTTTGATAGGAGAGGCAAAGAAATCTGTATGTCATTGTGAATCTTAGTTAAAGATTATCTTTGTTAAAGAGCAAGGGAGATATCAGTCAGTTAGAATTAGGCCCTGAATATAATTTTGGAATTGTACATCAGTAACTTCCAAGCTTTTAGAATCAGCAGCATTTCTTATGGGCTACCTCGCTGCACCCCATTTCCCCAGGCCCAGCACAGGTGGCTGGACAACATCTTTGGAATGGATATACTCTCTTCAGAATGAGTCATGGACCAAATGCATAAACTGAGTGCATTTTGCAAACAGGGTAGGTAGGCTTTGGGACCACTGTGTACAAAGAGCATGATTTGAGAAATACATGGATGAGCAATAGCTCTGTAGTCAGAGAGAACAAATGCTTTCAGCAGATCAGAAGCCAGACGTCTTTGGAAAGCAAGGCAGGAAATGTTATTCTCCTGACTTGTTCAGGATAGTTATTTTCATCTTGCTAGAACATTACTGTGTATCTCATCTGTGCTAGCCCTTCAAGGGTGCCAGACACCTTTGAATGAAAATCACTGCAATGAGAGGACTCTGACATGAGTCCATAACAATGAGGAACCTCTCTAAGAGAGGCAGGAGATAAGAAACCCAACAACACCTGAGAGGTTTCATCTGGATCTTGCAAAGCGAGCGTCTTTTGGCAAGGATGTTCATCTCTTAATGATCATAGCAAATGAAAAACAGCCCCAAGATCATGTCATTCACCCTTAATAAAAAGACATTTTTTCTTTCTTCCTTCTTTCCTGCCAAATTCTTACAGATATCGAGACAGAATTCCTTCCGTGGCTGATGACACAAGTGGAAGAAGCACTAGAGAGGAAGATTCTGGGGAGGACAATGCTTGACTGTAAGTTACAAAATCCTGGAATGTAACAAACATAACGTTTAGAGGGTCATTGTGGATTAAGGTAGCAGGTGTAATTTTAGCAGAACTCCAAGTACCCATGGTGCTTTGTGGGTTTTTTACGATTTAAAAATGTTTTTAATGTTGGAATATTACATACACCTAGGTAATTCATTTTCAGCTGAAATAATAGAAGTGTCAGTCATGCTGCACTGTTCTTTCTCTGCTGGCTTTATACTCTTTGAGATGTATTGATGCTGGGAGGTACAATACATTTGGCAGGAGCAGGATGGTTAAAGAACACCAATTCTTTTCTCTGCTATAAAACTTGCATTTCTCATGTGTAACACAGCCACGATTGCTGTGCTCTTCTCTGTAGTGTGCCTGACTGTGCCAGTGGGAACAGAAAAGCCCATCCTGTCTTCCAACCATGTGTATACCATGAAAGTCTCTTAACTTGTTTGTGTAAGCTCCCTGAGCTATGGAGTAATACCTACATGAAAGGGGGAGGACCAGCACTTTTCATCAAAACAAGGGCTTACCTCCTCAGCAGTCAGTAATCACATCCTTGCTTTTGAAATAGATTAAAATATCAGTCTTTTGGGGAGCTAGTTCAAGCTAAGTATTCAGGTTCTTTTATTAGTCAGCCTTCAGAATCTGCAGTTGAAACACCTGAACAATCTAAACTCTGTCTTGTGTAGAAACATAAAATTATGATGAATGCGTGTGGCAACATGGTGGTCCTAGATCAAACCACTTTTTATACTTGCATTACATCTTTCATTCCTATGGTTTTCCTCCTGCTGTGATTTTGCACTTGAATTACAATTGTTTGTTTCCTTTGGGTTTATTTTCAGTTTATCAAGGACCCCGAATTTCCTTTGTGAAGGTATAATTTGGATAATTACAGCTGGTCTGTTAGGCATTTTATCCTATGACATATGTGCCAGTATGTACACTCAAGAATCACTTCTTCATGTAGCTCTTCAGGGTGGAGGGAATTTTCTCTCCTGTTAAGTAAGAAGTGTTTTATGTGACTACTGAATAAACATCCCAAGGAGAATGCTACTGCAGGATATACTGTTGACAAGACTGTCTTATCATATTCCTGTCAAATCTTTCTGTTGAATTTTTACAAGATATCACAGTCTTGCACCAATTCTAAGATACACAGAGCAGCTGGAGCAGGCTAATATCAGCAGCCCCTGTTTTGCTATTTACCCTCTGTATTTCCTGATTTATACCCAATCACCTACTGTTGAGTAAACATAATCTCTGCAAAAGGAACTGCAGATTGCATTCTCCAGGTTTTTGTAGAGGCAGACACAGCCTTGGCTGAGATACTTTGTGGCTTCTTTCCACCCTCCCTGCTTATGCAGAAGCATAGGAAAAAACTCTAAGGATCCATTTTTAACCTATTTGAATGAAGGGGCTACTTAAAGAATTTTATTTGCACCATCCAGTAAAAGAGCTATGAGCTACAAGGGAAGCACTCACCGTGTAAGGTGGTTATGTTTGTCCCCTCAGAGAAGACCTTCTTTTACTTGCATGAATGTCAACCCATGAATTAACAATGAAGCTCTTTTTAGTACCTGTATGTTGTCCCATTTTCTGTGTTAAATCTCTCTTCTTTCATTGTTGTATATCAAAGTGATTGTTGATTTTTTTTTTGTTGTTGTTGTGTTTATTGACTTGGAAGGGGTATAGTGTTTAGAAAAATTTCTGAATTTTCTAAACAGCAAAAATAATAAAGAGTAGGTGCTTTACAGCTGCTTTAAGAAAGAGAAAATCTTTTGATGACTCCCATAGCTTCAGTATTTTCCACTGCCAAAACCATCATTCTGTGTGCAACCTGACTAGTCCTGGTTCCTGGTGGGGTGACCCGCTCCAAAAGTCAGGAACAACTGTGAGGAAATCAACAAAACAATCCAGGTGAACCCTTTCAAATCGCTGACTTCAGTGTAAACAGCTTGTCAGGCTAGAACTAGGCTACAGCAGCAGGGATGTTTTTTCTCATTCAAGTATTCTTTCATTTTTACTGTTATTTCAGGGTGTTTTCCCTATTTAAGAAGTTATAGGTCAGTAATATATAATAAAAATCTAAAATTACAGGGTTTTTTCCTCCATGTTTGTTAATGGTGGCTTTCTCTGTTTCAGCCTTGATTTGTACAGTGGTTGAAAAACGCTTAGATGCATTTAGCCATAAACCTCTGTCTGATCAGATAGAGGCACCTGCTGAAGAGCCCAGGCCAACAGATGCAGCACCCCAGGTGGCCGGTGAGACAGATGCTGCTGACCAACCAGTCACAGAGGAAGAAGAGACCGACCAACCTGTTGCTGAGGAACAGCCTTCACGTCACATCTCTTTTCAGTTAGAAGAATCAGATCAAGCAGGAACAGAGGATCTGGAAACCGAGTAACAAGCAGGCAAGTCATCAAGTAAATGGAGAAAGAAGAAACTAATTCCTATCTATTTACAAATCTTGTGCCCAAGCCGTACTGAAGGATGAACCCAAGCAACAGTAAAGCATTAAAGCATGTTTTCCATATGATGACATTGCTGATTTCAGGCTGTAAGAATGAAGAGAGAGGTTAATAGTGCCATGAATGGCAGTGAAATTCTAACCCCTTCTACACAATCCAATCCATCAAAAACCTGGGATGTTTACAGTTGAAAAGTAATGCTGTCCCACACTTCATGCTAGAAGGTCATGAGAAGGACACTGAGAGCATGCTAATAACCTTTGCAAGTGCTTTGATTCTCAGAACAGGATTTCCTTACTTTCCCTATTTTGAAAGGTAGCTGCTATGGCACTTAGATAAATTTATTTTCACTCACGTTAGTCTCTTCTTTCCTAACAAACTTGGATGGACATCTCAGCAGGTGTGGTGGGTTGACTCATGCTGGATGCCAGGTGCCCACCAAAGCTGCTCTGTCACTCCCCTCCTCAACTGGACAGGGCAGAGAAAATCTAACAAAAGGCTTGTGGGTCAAGATAAGGACAGGGAGAGATCATTCAGTAATTACAGTTACAGGGAAAACAGACTCGACTTGGGGGAAATTAATTTAATTTATTACCAATCAAATCAGAGTAGGATAATGAGAACTAAAACCAAATCTTCAAACACCTTCCCCCCACCCTCCCCTTCTTCCCAGGCTCAATTTCACTCCCGATTTTCTCTACATCCTCCCTCTGAGCTGTGCAAGGGGACAGGGAATGGGGGTTGCGCTCAGTTCATCAGACGTTTCTGCTGCTCCTTGCTCCTCAGTGGAGGACTCATCACACACTTCCCCTGCTCCAGCATGGGGTCCCTCCCACAGGAGACAGTCCTCCACAAACTTCTCCAACATGGGTTCTTCCCACAGGCTACAGTTCTTCACAAACTTCTCCAGCCTGGGTCCCTTCCGCAGGGTGCAGTCCTTCAGGAACAGACTGCTCCAGCATGGGTCACAAGTCTGCCAGCAAACCTCCTCCTGCATGGGCTTCCCCTGAGGTCACAGCCTCCTTCAGGCATCCACCTGCTCTGGCATGGGGTCCTCCATGAGCTGCAGGTGGCTATCTATCTGCTCCAGTGTGGAGCTCCATGGGCTGCAGGGAGACAGCCTGCCTCACTAGGGTCTTCACCCTGGGCTGCAGAGGAATCTCTGCTCCAACACCTGGAACACCTCCTTCCCCTCCTTCTTCATTGACCTTGGTGTCTGCAGAGGTGTTCCTCTCACATATTCTCACTCCTCTCTCTGGCTGCAAATGCCACATCCCATTTTTTTTTTCCCCTCTTAACTCTGTGATCCTAGAGCTGCTACCACCGTTGCTCATGGGTTTGGCCTTGGCCAGAAGTGGGTCCGTCTTGGAGCCAGCTGGCATTGGCTCTATCAGACACAGGGGAAGCTTCTAGCAGCTTCTCACAGAAGCCCGCCTCTACAGCCCCCCTGCTACCAAAACCTTGCCACGCAAAGCCAATACAGCAGGTAATAGAGTGAAGGCTGCTGTTCCTGAAGCTCTTCAAGTTCAAGGAGTTATCTGCCACTGGGAATTTCTGCCAGTGCAAAATCCTCCTCAGCCTCCTGACTCCCGGAGCACTAGTGAGTGGCTGGAGCCACGCACTAAGTCCAGGCTCGGTTTTCTTTGTAATCCTCCTTTCCTGCTGGTTCACTGGAAATGGTACCAGACATGACTGACAAAATGTGCCTGCACAGCCACACGTATCTATCTGTTCATAGGCCAACTCCACAAGTGGGGCATTCCCCCTCATAGAAGTACATCTGTGGCTTTATTGCAGCAACACCGTTTCCTTGCTAGCTGCACCTGTGAAAAGCTCTATCAGACACAGGGGAAGCTTCTAGCAGCTTCTCACAGAAGCCCGCCTCTACAGCCCCCCTGCTACCAAAACCTTGCCACGCAAAGCCAATACAGCAGGTAATAGAGTGAAGGCTGCTGTTCCTGAAGCTCTTCAAGTTCAAGGAGTTATCTGCCACTGGGAATTTCTGCCAGTGCAAAATCCTCCTCAGCCTCCTGACTCCCGGAGCACTAGTGAGTGGCTGGAGCCACGCACTAAGTCCAGGCTCGGTTTTCTTTGTAATCCTCCTTTCCTGCTGGTTCACTGGAAATGGTACCAGACATGACTGACAAAATGTGCCTGCACAGCCACACGTATCTATCTGTTCATAGGCCAACTCCACAAGTGGGGCATTCCCCCTCATAGAAGTACATCTGTGGCTTTATTGCAGCAACACCGTTTCCTTGCTAGCTGCACCTGTGAAAAAAGTCCTGCCTTGTCCAGACTGCTTTGTGCTACCTCCTCTCTGCAGTTCAGAGGAGATGTGTGCTACTCCAGCAGGCCGGATCCCAGTCTGAGAGTGGGATGTCAGAAATAACACCTGAAGAGACAAGTACCTGCTCCACGACTTGTACCCTCAAGAGGGACATCCAGACTTCTTCACTGGACCACTTGTACGTGTGGCTTCACAGTCAGACCCTGCCTTCCCTCCATCCTGGGCTAGGGCAGCCAGTGATAATCAGGGCAGCTGTTGTTCACATGGAAAAGCTCCTTTGGAAGGTGTCAGGTATTTACCTCACTCTGTAGGTAGTTGAAAATCAGAAGTAATAAGATGTAACCACCAACAAATCCACTCAGTGGTTTGATGTAATATAAATGTGTTAAAACTGACTGTCTGGAGTCACGTAGCCCAGACTACAGCCAGACACACCCATGGATGCTTTTCAAAGCTGGAATATTCCTTTGTAAGCTCCTCCTCTGCTAAGTTGACAGTATTTCAACAAAGTGTGCTTGCTTTTTCATTTATGATTGATTCATCAAAGCATCCAGCAAAATGCATTACGTGTGTGAAATGAAGGTAGTCAGTACTCCCTACATCTGTCTGTAAGTTTCTAAGAAGAATTTATTTTTATGCACATGAGTGGAAATGAAGGCTTGAAATGAAACTCTGGTTTAGGCATTGAAGTCAGCGGGAGGTTTACCTCAATTTCAGTAGAACAAAGATTTTGCATTGTTTTTTTTTCCCGTGGTGATAGAGACTCCTGTCACAACTTCAGGTGAATCATGTAAATGATTAGATAAATAGATAAATATAATAATCAGGCTAATTTTATCTAGAGAAATAAAATGGCTTTGTGACATGATTTATGAGAATTGTAATTTTTGGAACGCTATATGTCAGTTTTAAGGATTCCTCATTATTGAATGATTGCTTTGTCACATATTTACAGGAGACTTATCATAATCTAGAGGACTGCCATGGATCATTCCTGAAAAGATTCAAACAAACGCTGACTTGAATATTTGGTTTTGGAATCTTAGAATAGGAAGATGATCACCTGGAATATTTTCATTTTTGTCACTGCTGGTTTGTGATTGATTGCTAGAAAATGTACTTGAAGTATTAAATTATTCTACTTAAATAGGTTGTGGCATTATTATGTATTTGTAAATTATTATTAAAAAATAATGAATTGTATGCCCTGCATTTTTACTTCATTAGAATGTATAGATACAACTCAAGTGTTGTGTACTGTGGTAGTTTGCTGCAACAGGCTATGTTGTTATGGGGCCATACCGCCATGAAGTGTTATGCTGCACTGGCATTTTTCCATCAATAGTCCTGTTGGGCCTCTGGGCAACCTGATCTAGTTGAAGATGTCCCTGCTCATTGCAAGGGAGGTGGACTAGATGGCCTTTAAAGGTCCCTTCCAACCCAAATTATTCTATTGTACTTGAATTCTATCAGACACAGGGGAAGCTTCTAGCAGCTTCTCACAGAAGCCCCCCCTTCAGCCCCCCTGCTACCAAAACCTTGCCACACAAACCCAATACAACAGGTAATAGAGCAAAGGCTGCTGTTCCTGAAGCTTTTCAAGTTCAAGGAGTTATCTGCCACTGGGAATTTCTGCTAGTGCAAAATCCTCCTCAGCCTCCTGACTCCTGGAGCACTGGAGTCAGTGCCCAGACATGGGCAGGGTGGCAGAGGACGGGACCCCTTGCATCCTGTTGGTCACTGAAGAAGCAGAAACCGATGAGCAACAGTAAGGGGGGGAAGAAGGATGCAGGGCAATGGCGTAGCTGTCACCTGTCTGGGGTGACACCAGCAGACATGCAGGCTGTGCAGCACAGGCCTTGCTGCTGGCAGGGTGGATTGAGGGCTGGCATACAGGTGGCTGGGAAAGCCACGCTAGCCAAGCCCTAGGGTGAGCACCACATCCCTCACACCAGCTCCCCACAGGGACACCTCTTGATGCCCTTCCCCTCCAACTCTCCTTTCTCTGGCCTGAGACCCCAGCAGCAGCTCTCCCTGGTAGGTGGGTAAGGCTGCAGAGTGGCCAGCTCTGCACCCAGGGTGGCCTGTGGGAGGCCCAGTGGCCTGAAGCTCCCTGCCCCTGCTCAGAACCACAGAGGCATCCCTTGAGTGTGCATGTGGGTGCAAGGGGAGTGGAGGGGTGGCAGAAGGAGCTGACACTGCAGGCACTAGAGGGCAGGACAGGCCACAGCAGTCCCACCACAGAGACCCATAGAAAGACACTGATGTCACTTATTGCACATCACACACCCTGCACTAGTGACACTCGACTGCATTTCCCTCCTCTGCTAAACCCCAAAGGCATCAACCTCTTGCACAATCTACTCATAACAGGAGGACCCAACCCTTAGGATCACCCAACACAGTCCACACTAAGATCACAGGCTCACAGAACAGTTTGGGTTGGAAGGGACCTTTAATGATCATCTAGTTCCAACTGACTTGCCACGTGCAAGGACATTTTTCACTAGATCGTGTTGCTCAAAGCTCCATCCAACCTGGCCTCGAACACTTCCAGGGATGGGGCATCCACAACTTCTCTGCTGGCCTGGGTTTCAGGGCTTTCTAACTGCCGCTGCTGAGTGTTTCCACGCCATGTCTCAGCCC